TTGAGCTGATATGTATATTTATATGTGGAGAGGAAGAGCAAACTGAGTAATTGTGCTTTGATATGAAATGTTAAAACCTTGAGTTTTTATAATACCCTTTTTGTATTTTTCAGGTGCGACAGACCGCGGAACAAAAGGATTAAAAATGTTCCTTGTTCGTGCCTGCATCGGTCGACCATATCTCACACGTGAGAAGAAACAATTTCCACGGCCTCCTTGTACTGAGAAAGGCTGCATGCAAGTCGTATGCAACCACACCAGTCACTTTGATTCCGTGATAGCAGACGTTTCCAATATGTTGTACAGAGAGTTTATTATTTACGAGAAAACAATGTGTTATCCTGAATATATCATCACGTACGACAGAATATAGTATTGAATCCAATTTAAACGACTTAATTCAATATTCGGTGAAAAATCCCTTTGATTTCTATGCCAGAGCTTCGTGACTGCGAGAATGAGAATGCGCCAAGATGCACAAGGGGACGTATAGCCTCAACCGAATGACGATAGGGGAAAACATTCTAGTTTAGATCATAAGAAAAACCGTGATCGTGGTAATGTTGAAGAATTGACCAATTTTGTAACTATTTTCAAACCAGTTGGGTAAAGTGTGACGGTTTGTGATGAATTTTGTACATTTGTTGTGTTATTGAGAACTCTCATATAAGACATGGACTTAGTTACGGATCTGTATATCCCCTGAAGATTTAGAATTGCGTCCTATTTAAAGCTTAATAAAGTTTTGTATTAATATTCGTTGAAAAGTCGCTTTGATTCCTGTGCCGGAGGTTCCTGACTCTGCGAGAATGAGAATGAACCAGGAATGAGGATGCACAAGGAGAGGTAGAGCTTCAACAAGTCTAGTTTAGAAAAAGGCGTTACTTAAAGAGGTCAGACGATATAATCACTAATGGTAGGATTGACATTCGCTTGTATGGTAGAAGACGGTGATTCTATATATGCAGTTTCAAGACAGATTAAGGGCGTCTGCACTTGTTTATTTGATTACAAAAATATTGAAAAAGGAAAATTAATACACGAGTTTTAGTGGGAAGGCAGATAATAGAGAGCAGTATATTTGTTACACTTTCTCTTCTTCCCTTAAATGAAACACGTGCATGTATTCAAAGGTGCGGGTTTATGTATTTTCTGCGTCGTATACGTACGTATATGTCATATGATCGTGGTGGTGATGAAGATTTGACCAATTTCGTAAGCATTTTAAAACCAGTTACGTAGATTGTAACTGTTTGTGATGAATTGTGTACATATGTTGTGTTACTGAGAACTTACATATGTTGTGTTACTGAGAACTCTCATTATAAGGCATGGACTTAATAACGTACATATTTGTATATCCACTGAAGATTTAGAAATGCGTCTTATTTAAGGCTTAATAAAATTTTGTATTACTATGATGATGATGATTAAGTTGAATTACTGCATATAATTAATAGATACTTTAATATTTACTGACCGCTTATTTTTCAGTTCATTACCGTGTTTGCAATAATAATCATAGGACCCAAAATTTCTGGGAAAACTGCCACTTTTAAAATATTTTTCAGACCAGCGAATCTTTGGACAATAAACCATATCAGACTGTAAAGCCCCCTTTACACTGGACGGCGTCCCTTCTGCGTCCAGCAGTTCGGCCCCATTTGAGAGTTAGAGAATTATAATACTTTACGTGCCGACAACTGGCCGATCATTCAGCATTCATTCTTATACCAAATCATGCTCATGCCTCCTTATTAAGACCACAGCGATGCCAAATTTCATAGTCGCAGAAAGGAGGCAGAAAGGACGCCGTCCAGTGTAAAGGGGGTATAAGCAGTGAGCAATGAATTCGTGTCCCACCTTTGCAAACCCAAACGCTTGCTCGGTGCAGACGAAGACGTCTAACGTTTCATAATTCCATTTCCGGTGTTTAATTTTTGAAGGAACATCTAGCCTGCCTTGGTTATATACAAGGTGCATTGAAGAAAGCAAATATAACAGGTGCATGGCTCGCAATATGGCAGTAACAACAACTTGCTAGTTTCAGTGGTTCTCTACAGAGAATGATTACCCCAGGTGTTTGCACTCATTGACACCACCTCTCGATTTTTCACCGAATGATTGACAAGTGGCAACCAAAACAGGTCAATTGACATCAATTAAGTTGTTCATTTCATCATCATTGCATTTAAATTGTTCTGCTCCTCCTGGACCCCGTAACTCGAAAGCATCGCGCATTGCGACCGAGCGCAAGCGTCTCGATTCCATAACTAGCCCTGTTGTCGCTTACGACAACAAGTTGCAATTACGGTCGTATCAGTAGTCATCTTTGTTTTGTTATGCAAATGATTTGCTCAGTATATATACGGCCAGCAGTAGTTTGTATTTGACGAGCAGAAGGCTCAGGTCGCCAAGTATCAAGATTTTGTGTAGTCACTTCGGCAAAATCTGTGGATCACCATCAGGCGGGAAAAGCCACATTTCTCTGGACGTATTGTTAACTATTTGCACAATGTATATGCAAAAGCGTAAGTCGTTTTTGTCTAGCCAAATTTATAGTATGCACAACATTTCCCGTTTCTTATAATTAATTCATTATTTCTTTTTATATTTGTATTCAGTTTATATTATATTTGTGTATTTTTATATTATCAGTTTGGTGTTTATATTTCATTATTTTGTTATTTTAGTATCACCATGTCCATGTCAGTGTATGTGCGTGAATAAAGGTGTGAACATTTTCCCGTTGTTTGTGTTCGTTTGGCGTGGGATCCGCAACAAGTACTTGACACATATAATACACTGTGGCCTCTACGTGATATCGCTATTCGCAATGCGCGATGCTTTCGAGTTACGGGGCCCTTGTTTTTTTACTCTGCTCTAGTACATGTAAATACTACATGATCAAATGTAATACTGCATATCTTTGACTGTGAAAAAAAGCCTTTTTGTGGCTTTGAGGTGTGTTTCTGCCCGAGTATCATCTGTCTGATAACAGTGGCATTAAACTTTCAAAAACATTTATAAAACTAGAAGTAAGAAAGGATAAAAATTAGGGTAGAATAAAAAAAAAACGAATGTTTATATATAATTTTCTTTTAAAAATGAAGCTAATTAATGAAGCTTAAGACAAAATAAAAATTACATTACAGCCATGGAAATACCAAAGATGAGTTCATCGATACCACGGGCCGACGACCATGTCCAAATATTTCACCCCCTGCCCCAACCTTTTTTTTGGAATGGTTAGCCTTTCCCCTCCCACTTCAAGGTTATTTACCCCGTAGCTATAAAAGCTGTCATATGTTCGAGTTCTTTTTCTTTTATTTCGAAGTATACAATACACTATACAAGTATATGATATAAAAGCATTTTAATGGAGCAACATTATTGATTAATTTTCTAAATATGCACCGTACCACTTTATGGACATGTCAAAGTGAATGCACCACTGATAACGTGTGCATTCCCAGCTACCACAATGTGTACTGTACAAAATTTCATAGCGCTCCCCCAAGGAGGCTATATTTGCATCTCCGTTTGTCTGCTACCAGCCCAGCCCAAAAAGCTACAGATGGATTTTCATGAAAATAGCCTTGTTCAGAATAGGTCACAAATGTGTTAACTTTTTTATCTAAAAAACGATAAGATTTTGTTGGTGATCTGAATCCAAATATTTTATAGGATTCTACATCATTGCGAGATAGAGCCAATGACTCGAACTTGTAGGCTACAATGGACGTGCTCTCAGCTACCAATTTTTATCACGGCAGGTTGCTTGGCGGATGTCTGTGCTCTCTGGGTGTTTTTTTTTTTATTTGATTTTGGATATATTTATATGTTGACGCTTCCAGCAACGGTAATCCAGGCCTAGAAAGATTCTTCGTTCAACCTGCAAATTCTGGTTTATCTTTTCCCTTGCTTTGCCTCGTGGTTTTAGACGTTTTGTTTCTAGAGTCCCTTAGAAGAACAATTGTGCGTCTGTAACCCTGGAAGGGCAGATAAGCAGGCAAATGTTGAAATTTGAAGATAAGCAGCTGATCCCCAACGGATCTCGGGCTGTATTCTCGAAAGGTTGTAACTTGCAAATTATTGTAATTATTCAATAAAGTCCGATTGTTCACGTAAGTTGATATTGTTGTAGTTTTGTTAGTTAAATATTTACAAATTGTTGTAAATTACAAAGTTGCGAGATACACCTAGATACAAAGTTTTCACTGATAGATAAATGAAAATTAAAAGTATTTCAGTTGTTCATAAAAATTGAAAATGAATTTAGTTTACCGAGGTATTAAAAACATCTGTCTATCGGAATTCATTGCCCAAGACTATTATATCACTTCTTCTATTAATTCACAGACAAAAAAGTGGTTGCATCATTAATGTGTTCTATTTCAAACGGTGCCTGTGACAATTGAATTCAAAATGCCTGGATATCGGCATCTAATTGTACTTGTAACTGCAAATAATTATCTCCATTCTCAGTTTTGTCGAATGTCATTTTTAGCGTTTGTGTCCTCTTCTACTTTAACCATATTTAGTAATCAATTGTTATATTCTTGGAGAGACCAATAAAACGTTGGCAGCCATTGCTCTACTTTGTTTGTGCAGTCAGGTATAAACATAAACGGCAACTATACAGATCGATGTATTTCAAATGACTGAGAAGAAAGAGGGCATATCACAAAAATGATTCGGAAAGAATATGACCAGTAAAAGTTTTTAGAAGGCTTTCCAAAACACTAAACAAAAATTGAACTGGGAGAATTGATTATTTGCTCAAGTTTGGAGGCACATGGCATTTTACGAAACTAAAAACGTTATCATATGGCGAGATAACAGTGGCCCAACAAAACACATTAATCAAGTCAGTAAAGGAAACTAGATACAAAAACAGGTTATTTACCTACGCGAAATAGTGAACACGCTGTGATCATCATCGATTTCTGCAGTCGTGACGCAGGGGGGTGTCACCTTGGCAACACGACGCTAGTTTACCCTGTAAAGCGGAGGATCTGCGTCTACCTTTCCATTGTCTAGGGCCCCATGTGTCAAAACCGAGCTTCTGCGTTCTTATATACCGACACTGCATCATGGAGAATTCAACAACAAACGGTACAAACGGGACCCTAGTAGGCAACATTACGACGTTGTCAACATGGTCAGGTAGTGAGAGTACCACTGACAGTTATTTCACAACAACCGGTCTCGGGGACATCCATTTACTTCTCCCAACCATAAATTATTCCAATTACTCTTTGGAAACTTACAAAACAATCTACTGGTCAGGTAGGTTTACATTAATTGTTAAACCGTTGAATTGAATATTCGGTACAAATAAACTGTTAATATTTGTAAGAATCAAGTGATATTGTGGAATTCTTTTGATCGGATAGTAGATTTTTGTCAACTATAGAGCACACATTTTTGATCGGGTCATTAGTTACAGGTACGCTTTGATACAGTGAGCTTTCTTATTTCCTGAACACAAAGCGGCAACGGGCTGTTTAAGACATTTGGGGTTTATAAGCGATGTCGCAATCAATGATAAGGGTATATCTACCTCTTCTGGTCTTCACTTCATAGGCTTTGAGATATGCAACACAATCACTGACTTGCTATATAAGATTTGATAATAATATTTGGGGTAATTGTCGTATAAAGCCTGTCTTTGTAGACAAGAAGGTTAAACTTATCAAAACTTCGTCATTTCAAAATGGCCGTTTTCTATAGATACAAAGCACTAGATGTCTTTAAACTAAATATCCGTAAAACTTAATAGAGCAAAATCATTACCGCCTTATTAAATCAGAACTTTAAGTTTTATTGTTTAAAACTCTCTTATAAAACGTAAATGCGCAATATCGCACAACACCTTGCCTTCTTTCACTTTTGAGACAGATATTTCGAAGTAAATGCTAGCATATTGATTTGTGTCAATAGTATTTTTCCTTGTCGGTTACCTTGCTATCGATTAACTGTGCTGGCAGTGTATTCATTAGTTAACAGGTTCAAATAAAAAACTGATTAACCCTTTTCATTCTAATTAGAATACAAAAAGTGTTTGGGGAAAAACACAACGATGTCGTATGTTCTCTTGCGAGTTTTTTTGACGGTTTGTTCCACATTTTGCACAGTACAAAAACTGTTTATCGTCTGAAGTCGTCGCCAAAAGGGACATGTATCCGAAAGGGGGACTTAACGTGGCTTACGTGCTGGTCTAGTTGATTCCGCACTGAAGTAAAACTCCTGTCTTTTTTTATCCTGTCGACAGCCTCTCACTACCTGTGTTGTAAACCAAAGGAAATACTGATGAGACTTCCTAGTTATGATTCTGAAGGTAAAACATACTGGCTATGATAAGGGCAATTAAATTCTGGAAATGCAGTGTCCCTTTGTGGCAAGACATTTATAAACTATTTTTAAGCATGAATTACGCCAAAAAAAAAAAAAAAAAAAAAAAAAAAAATTATACTAGTTTAGGCTTTTCAAAGAATTCTCATTTTGCATTTAAAGCCTTTTTTCATTTTGAAACATGACTGAGGTTTTTTGTCATCTCACACAGGAAATATATTGTTATATTTTTCTACCATCACTTGTCCTTCTATCTTAATTAACACAAATATAAGCCTATTTTACATAAGAAATTAATGTTTGAAAATAAATTTGTGTTCTAAATTTGTATTGAAATGGAAAGATAGATTCATTACTACCCTTGAATGTTTTGTTTTTGCAGTATCGGCATCTTCCCTGATGCTTGTTTTACTCGCCTGTATCTGCCTCCAAACTTACGTTTACAGGAAAGGAAAAAAGTAAGTATTTATAACTAGTTTCTGCTTTTAAAGTTCAAGAGGTAGGATATTGGATGCTGTTTCCTTATGACAAGCCATTCACAAAATGTGCTGTTAAAATTTCACTCGTTAACCCATTAACACCCATTTACACAAATTTCACTCGTTAACACATTGTGTACTACATAAACATTCGTCACCATCTCAAATACTAACAATTGGATATAATTGACAGTTTTTCTAATACACAGTAAAATATATGCTGGTTTGACGAGGGAGAAAACCATGGCCATCAAAACATCAGTGGAAATAGAAGAAGATGAAGACTTGTGCGTGTGGTCTGTAAAGATACTCGTGGAAATAGAGCGTCCTCTATTGGTGGATGTTTTCAAATGGGCAGGCGTTTGTGCATTTTGTACCGGGCTATTGCTGGCGATTCCTGCAAGATATGCATTAATTCCACTACTCCTGTATGACGTATCACAAGCCATTCACGTATGTGTGTTGTATACGAAAAAGATGGAAAACAAGGACAAAAATGCTGTATTTCAAGATGTTAAACGCGTTCGTCTTTCGTATACACTTTTTGCTGGATTTCCCGCTGGATCAGCGGCAAAGATTCTTGGCACACTCTGGCTGGACGGAATATGGGACAGTTGGGGCTATTCAGATTTTGGCTTTACTATTCTCTTCGCACCTCATACAATCCTTATTTTTATTGCTGCACCAATTGTGTTTTTCACATTTTGCTGCGCATGTTGCAAGTGCAGTGAATCAGAACCGTGTAAAGACAGAAAGTTTTTGCNCTAGAGTTAGAGATGATGAGCTGAAGAGGGAAAATGAACTTAACACGAAGTGTGGAAAAACTGGATTAAAATTATCATTTATAAACTTTATAAAATTATCATTTATCATTTTTCCATGAATTCTATATTCCAGGAAGGCTGTTGAAAGTTATTCCCGAATTCTCAGATGCCTGGTGTTTTGGTTGGTCGGCAGTGATACTGGTTTACTTCCTTGACAACCCAGGTGACGTCAGTTCGTTGTATATCAAGGTGTATGCCATGTTGCCGTTGCTGTTCTCCTGCCTTATAGGTCTAACATTTGACGTCTATAGAATTTTCCGTATGGCCAGAAATTTAAACGACAAAAGCTTTTGGAGAAAAGAAAAATACAGCAAGATGAAGCGAATCAAGTGACGGAAATGGAAGTACAGGCTCCAGATTATTGGGTTAATTTTCAGGATGATTTTAAGAAATGTGCAGGTAAAAAAAGTACCATTTTTATCATCTTAAGCTACTCTATTCCCTGTAGACACTCCCTGTTTACATAAACATAAGTGACGTAAACTAATGTTTACATAAACTATTGCTATTTTTCACTGCGTTTAAATTTAGCAATTTTTTTTTAATTAAAAGTTAAAAGAATCAACATTTTTGGAAAGAAAAGATTCAAATCTGTTTTACACAAGAAAATCATATGCAAGGAAAATGAAATTACTGTTTCTCATCCGGTAGGGGAGGAAGAAAGTGTCACGACAGTTGATGTCAGTGGCCAGATTTGGGACGAGGTCAGTCATATGATGAGAGAGTCTTGGTCTAAAAACAAAATGCTTATCCGCGGAAGAGACAATAGAGATCACATTGATTTTAAGATAACGAAGATTCAGCGTGTCGAGAACCCCCGACTGTGGAGCCAATATTTTTGCAAATTACAAGATTTATCCAGAAAATGTGCACGAAATCCCATTGACAGAGCGCCATGGATGCACGCCTATACGTGCCAGCTTTCCGGAATCTTAAATGGGCGCCTTAAAAATGAACTGAATGAATACTATTTATTTCACGGGACGAGCGCAGATGTTGCTGAAGCAATATGTGCCACTGGACTTGATTTTAGGATTGGAAGCGAGGGACTCTTTGGGAAGGGTATATACCTTGCAGAAAATTCCTCGAAGTCGGACCAATATGGAAAACTAAGCAAGACCGCCATTTGCATACATCTTTAATAGATAAACAGCCAAATCGGTGTCACTATATCGTTATTCAATAACGCATTTTGTAACAAAGTACCATCATACTTATAAATGATTAATGTATTGTTGGAACCATTTAATGGGGCTTTCCCTTTAATGGTGACAAATGAAAAAAGTAATCTGGCTTATGGAAAAATGATCCTGATATTACGTATTGTAATTTTAACACTTTGACATTCAAGTTGGTCTTGAAGGAAACCGCCAACAGCATCGGAGAGGCAAGCTTAAATAGACTTTGAGGGGAAATTTATATTTATGTATTAAGAGGAAGTGCTAATTGAGTAGTTGTGTTCTGAAACGAAATGTTACAAACTTGAGTTTTGATAACATTTTTGTATTTTTCAGATAAAGATTGCCGCGGAACAAAAGGAATAAAAATGTTCCTTGTTCGTGCCTGCATCGGTCGACCATATCTCACACGTGAAAAGAAACAATTTCCACGGCCTCCTTGTACTGTTAAAGGCTGCATGCAAGTCTTATGTACCCACACCAGTCATTTTGACTCCGTGATAGCAGACGTTTCCAATATGTTGTACAGAGAGTTCATTGTTTACGAGAAAACAATGTGTTATCCTGAATATATCATCACGTACGACAGAATATACATGTAGTATTGAATCCAATTTAAACTTAATTCAATATTCGGTGAAAAGTCGCTTTGATTTCTATGCCAGAGCTTCGTGACTGCGAGAATGAGAATGCTCCAAGATGCACAAGGGGACTAGTACTTATAGCATCAACCGAATGACGTTACGGGAAAACATTCTAGTTTAGATCATAAGAAAAACCGTGATCGTGGTGATGTTGAAGAATTGACCAATTTTGTAACTATTTTCAAACCAGTTGGGTAAAGTGTAACTGTTTGTGATGAATTTTGTACATATGTTGTGGTATTGAGAACTCTCATTATAAGGCATGGACTTAGTAACGGATCTGTATATCCACTGAAGATTTAGAATTGCGTCTTATTTAAAGCTTAATAAAGTTTTGTATTACTATGATGATGATAAAGTTGAATTACTGCATATAATTAATAGATACTTTAATATTTACTGACCGCTTATTTTTCAGTTCATTACCATGTTTGCAATTATGATCATAGGACCCAAAATTTTAGGACAACTTTGCCACTTTTTAAATAACTTTCAGACCAGTGAACCTTCGGACAATAAACCATATTAGACTATAAACAGTGAACAATGAATTCGTGCCACACCTTTGCAAACACAAACGCTTGCTCGGTGCAGACCAAGTCGTCTGACGTTTCATAATTCCATCACCGGTGTTTAATTTTTGAAGGAGCATCTTGTCTGCCTTCGTAATATACAAAGTGAATTGAAGAAAGCAAATGTAACAGGTGCATGTCTCTCAATATGGCAGTAACAACAACTTGCTAGTTTCAGTGGTTCTCTTCAGCGAATGATTACCCCAGGTGTTTGCACTCATTGACACCACCTCTCTCGATTTTTCACCGGATGATTGACAAGTGGCAACTAAAACAGGTGAATTATCATCAATTTAGTTGTTCATTTCATCATCATTTTCATTGCATTTAAATTGTTCTGCTCCACCTGATTTTTTACTCTGCACTAGTATATGTAAATACTACATCATCAAATGTAATACTGCATGTTTTTGACTTTGTTTATCGAAGTATTAAAAACCTCTGTCTTTCGGAATTCATTGCCTAAGACTATAATAGTCTAAGACTACTTCTATAATTAAATCACAGACAAACAAAAAAGTGGTTGCATCATTAAGGTGTTCATTTTCATATGGTGCCTGTGACAATAAATTCAAAATGCCTGGATATAGGGGTTACATTTTAGTGTCTGAGCATTATTTCAGCCTTTGTACAAAAAAGAAAATAATAATAATAATTATTTTACTGAAAACAAGAAAGATATTGTGCTACATTGTATACACATTGTACTATACATGTTGATTTAAAGGCGGTTTTCAGGCTTAGACCATGGCTTAAAACCAAAGACTTCCAAATCTGCTGCAAAAAAATTTAATTCCATTGAGTTCAGCCTGATACAACTGAGATAGGCCTATATACTCTTTTCTGTCAGTTTTAGATTTCTCCTTTAATTTTTTAATTCATTTTTAAAGGTGGTTAAAAAATAAAATTAAAAAAATACCAGGGTAAGACAATTGCCTGTGTAATTCCCAATGTTCGTTTTAAATGTTCGATGTCGTTGTCTAAGGGTGCATTCCCAGAGATTTAGATTGAACCAGAGATTTAGATTTAGATCGACCTAACTCCCTGGGGGTTCACGCTAAATTGCAGCTTTTTACAGCTTTTAGTAGGCGGGACAGACATTTAAGCCCGTTAAGCTGACACCAATCTAGTGAGACTCCCCAGGGGGATAAATCGATCTAAAATCTATGGGAAAGGGGTCTTAGTCTTCCAGTTTGATGCTGACGTCATACGGAATTGCGTACGAAAACCACAGTCTGGATATAGGAAACCATATGTCACGTGCCCTTGCGTCACGTGCTCTTGCGTTACGTGCCCTTGTGCGTTCAGGCATCATGATCTATAACGTAACGGATGAATCCTGGGAAACCCTTAAGGGGTCACTTGAAAATTGGCTGCCCCTTTTTGTCGTGCGTGAGACCGCCTTTTTTTTTTTGCCGTACCAATTACTTTTTTGTCAATTTTGATTATCCGTTGACAGGCTAAAATGCCGACTTGTTGCACTGCATCATACCCTAGGTCTCTGAGATAAACACCATCCGCGGGTATACGACACGAGGCGTTCATACATTGTAAGGGTGCCTCACTAAAAGCACCTTTGAATATCTATTTCAAATGTCATTTTATACAGTCTAATTAACTAACAAATAGATCTTAGGCAGAGATACATTTACAAACTGGTTAAGTCAGTACCTCGAAGGACAGACAATGTCATACGGTTTCGTAGCAGTCACGTGAGATCATATACCATATATAGCTTACTATTTCCCACCAGAAGTAACCCAAACGGAGAAAGTTTCACAATTGTTGAAAGTTTTTTGATAAAACAAGAAAGTATATCATCACTAACATTCAGGTTGATTGATGTATTTTCTCATAGTTTTAACTTATTTAAATAACAGATTTACATGTAATACACATACATGTATTTTGTTGAAATGTTCCTTCGTTTTACGCACTAGATTTTCGATTAATACATTTTGCAATGCATGCATCTTTTTGTACTCTTAACTGCAATTAATAATCTCCATTCCCGGTTTTGTCGAATGTCATATTTAGCGTGTGTGTCCTCTTCTAATTTAACCATATTTAGTTATCAATTGTTATATTCTTGGAAAGACCAATAAAGCGTTGGCAGCCAGCGCTCTACTTTTTCTGACAGTCTTCCAAATTATCTTTGTTGAACCATCCCCATTTTTGACCGTCTTCCGACAGAAAATGTTAGATACCCGTCTATAGAAAATCTTGAAAAGAGACCCAGAAGGCGGCCTAAATCCATGGCCGGAAATGTGCAGCATTCACGCGATACGCGAGGGCGCAACAGTAGGGCTTCACGTGACTCAACTAACCAATCACAGCACAAGAATGGCATCGCACACAGACTCTGTGATAAGTGCTCAGCCCATTGTCAAGTAGTGTTAGTTCATGCTAAGATTAGATCTTAGGTTCATGGTAACAAGCGTCTGATATGTGCAGAGAAGTTTATTATTATAATATAGGCCTCCTATATTGTTCTTATTGTTACATTATTAAATCTAACTCTGTATCCAAGTAGTAACTATAATGTACCAAGTCAGGTACTGATGATGTACAGAGGTCATATATTCCAGAATAAGCCATTACCACTGATTTATAACTTTCATTTTTTTTAAATATGTTATTCATGAAAGAGTTCATGAAAGATTATTTTAATTTGTTAAATCGTGATCTTATTCTTTTTATATTCAAATAATTAAATACTGTGGGTAAAATTGGTCTTCCACTTCTTATTTGCATTTTTCCTTTACTACAAGATTATTTTGGAACAGTTGCAGCATTAACAATTTAAATAAATAGCAATCTGAAAGAAGAATTTTGCATAATTATTAAATGATGATAGGAATTTTGGATTAAGAGATTAGTTAAATACTGAGTAGTGATATGGTCAGTCAATTAATGTACTGTAGAATCTGATAATCTGATAAAATACTGATTGAATTCTTGACCTTGCACTGGGCAGTTTTACGTTTGTGCCAAGTGCTCTTTTTGGACTCCATTGTACAGTGGTAAAAAATCTTCAATTGCCATGAA